TGAACATTTAAGGAAATACTACATAAAGTGCGGCCCAAACTTGTATGCCACCAATAAACTCAAGTGATATTGAAGTATATAGAAATGGTATGATGTTTTATGTAACACAATAGCATACATTGTGAAACGAGTCCCGTGATCATAATAAATATTATAGATATGGGAAATGGATAGGGTTATATCTGAGTGGGATACATCTGAGGGAAATTTATACAGAGACAATAGGGGAAATCCGTCCAGCATCAAGACTGGGTTATATCCGAGGGTGGGATAGGATGGGATATAATGAAGGGGGGGACGACTGTACATTGGTTTTGAGCCAGCAAGAGACGAAGTGTTAGCACGGGATTTGGCGACAGCAATCGAATCCTTTCTGTAAACATGAAGAATATCGAAAGTGAGACGACAGGAATTATTGTGGCAGAAGCACAGTGCGGAAGAGGGAAGGAAAAGAGAAGAGGAGGGGGAATTTATATAAGCGGTGCAGGAACATTGGAATGAGAAAAGAGGCGTGGTTGGAGAAAGCAGTTGACGGGAAGCGTGTCAGTAGAGATCCAGGAACGAAAAGCTGGGTAGATTAGAACTCCTAGGCGCGTGCGAACCTTGGTGATTATAACAATGACGAAATGGTTGATTGAATAACGGCATTTCTTTTCTCCGAGGGACGTCGACATTCTGGCAGCCGATTGAGCTTGTGGCAAAATTTGGAAAGTAGGAAACTTTCTGAAATTCCGCGGGTAGTGTGTAATAGGAAAGTAGGCTCCGACTTGTCATGGTATAAGCAACATGGGATATTGGCGTTGACTATTAGAATCAATCAAGCAATGTGGAAACACGTTATATTATCAAGATATTTTGACACGTTTCATAAGATCTTACATTGGTATTACTTGTCAATTGGCGGTAGCTGCCTCATTTGAAGCATCGTCTGCTTTTAATAACTGAATCACATAGTATATGCATCAACGATGTGTGCACTGACTATTTTCGGCATCATTACTGGATGATATGTTTTTGTGTGAGTTATAATACCATTTGTATAAAACAAAAAGTAAGTAACGTGAAGATAATATGCGAAAGTTTTGGGAATCGTATTACTGAATAATCACCAGCATTAAGTGTGTATGTAATAATGATATTATATTTTACTAATCTTCGCCATCTTATGTGTTATCCCTACCAGTCCTCGAATGCGATGACATATGGACAATCCGATGTTGGAAGATGGTTGTTTATATCTGAAACCGCAGGGAAGAGGATGTTTTAAGATTTTACGTTCATCAGTGAGCATTATATGTAAAGTCTTGAGGATATATAAGAACTCGATAATGCAAGCTTTCATACCGAAAGTCCGATGATATCGCATGGCAATGGGATCAGCCAAATATCCAGTCTTCCCATGGTCACGTCCTTCCTTATGTGTTGCGATCACATCATCCTGTCCAGCAAACAAACAGCTTAATAAACATTCTATCAACAAATGTTCCTTAGACCCATTCCTCATTTTCTTTCTACCCGCCATACAAATGCTACTGGACGTTATTGATTTAATTGGGTGCTTGTTATCAAAAAGCGATACTGCCACATACATAGTACTGTGCAAAAGATTAGTAAAGATTGGCACTCTAGCTATCAATAATAAGCAACTAAAATGTGAGTTATTTTTGATTCAACCATTGCAGCCATTACAGTATATCATCTTGTCTAACTTACCTCCTACCTCCATCTCCCTCCACTGCCATTAATAATCTACCTGTCCCCCTTGATTCTTGCAGACGTTTGCTGATATTACTGGTGTTTGTTTCATACCATTTAAAGATTGACATTACGTCCTCATGAAGGTATTTTTAATTTTTTCCTTGTTGATCGTATCAATCGTTTCCCAGCGTTTGCAAAAACTCAAACACTTTTCTCTAACCAACAATCTCCACCAACAGATTCAAGAGATGGACATCCCTGAGGGTATGTCCCGGTCGATTGACGATTGTGCTGAGGATGAAGGATAGTTGAGTGAGGATCAATTTTGTACGTGGATGTAAGCAACAAGTACACATCCGATCGTTCAGTCATGATAAGAACTTCGAACACTTGATCTAGTTTTCTGTTGTCAGTCAAGGCGACTCATCAGAATATTGCCGTGAGCATTAAGAAAAGGTGGACGAAAGATACTGTATTCGGCTTGGATCCCGTACTTCTATTTCCATTGCCATATCTCCACACCCATCCCTCCGTGTTTATGATCATCGACACCAGTGCGTACAACTGATGATGCGTGAGCTATAGAGAGAACAGGTATCATACGATGTCGATATAAATGTAGATTGCGGCTTGGATTCCGTGTTTCCATTTCGACCCCAGTGCGCACGAGCGCTGGTGTCGTGCAAAGTGATGGGTGAACCATAGAGAGAACAGGTGATCATGCGATGTCTATAATAAATGCAGATTGCGGCTTGGATTCCGTGTTTCCATTTTCGACTCCAGCGCGCGCGAGCGCAGATAATGTGTGAATCATAGAGTGATCACGCGATGGCAATAAACATGCAGATTGGACCCCCTTCAACCGATGTGTGGTGAAGGTTGTGTTTAGGTCGTAGTAGGCGTTGGTTGTACCGATCATACCAAATACCTAGTTCAGAATTCCATACGCAGACACTGGCTACATGCTCGAGCACTCTACGGATACCAGATTAGGCATATGACTATCATATCTAATAGAGAGAATAAGCATGTACAATCTTATCTAACGGTTGAACACCTCCTTTTGCCCGTACCAGCATAGTGCATTTAATTCCCAGTCGTATACTGCATAGATTACATATGAAATTTATGTTCAATGACGTCTGATGAGTGAAATTTATTATTGTATCGTCGTATTTATTATAATATTCTTATTATCGGTCTAAGTATGATCGTAATAATAAATTTATTATTGTATCGTCGTATCTATAATAATAATTGAAATTGAAACAATATGAATTTCTTCCTCCCACCATAAAGGGGCGGGGGAGCGGGACATTCTATACATCTATCCCGTCTGCTTGATAAAAAAATGGGATAAATGTATAAAACTAAAAATAAAAATAAAAATAAAAAAAGAAACTGACGATAAGAAGGGGGAAACATATGGTAATGTTATATCTCCCCCCCCCCCGAACGAAAAGCAAGAGAAGAAAATATGGGCCGTTCGGCCCCCCAGATTGCCTCTTGCTGGCAATCACATCGGATTCTGTGCCAATAATTATTTATTGATATAATGTTAGCGAAAAGGTATAGATCGTATTAAGACGATGATGATGATTATTATTATTTGAAAATCATACTTACAAATCTCCGATAGTATCGTTATGATACCGCTCGGATGGGATGAACGTCCATCATCGGTGATGGACGTGCATTTCTTTTGAGCACTGATTGCTCAAACACGGGAATGCGGTGGTGTGGAGTATCTAAAACGATATAGCGTATTAGTTACTGAATATTCGCGTAGAATAGCTCGTACTCCATCATCAAAGTTTGATACTTACGCAACACCACCGCCCCGTCCTCGTTCTCGTTCACGTTCAGCGTGAACCAACTGGTCTACAGAATGAATAAATGCGCATATTATAAGCACAACTGGTACTAAAATTGATTGAGAGTTCATAATTAATATCAAGCTATATGGTACTTACCGGAATATCTTTTATTCCGTTGCCGAGAAACGTCCGCTGGCGACATGGGAAATGACCTTCGTGTCCGCCAGCGGTCGTGATGGAACACGGCTTCGGGAGCAACGAGAAGATATAATAATTTATAGCGTTGCTCCCGTAAAGGCGGCCAGCCATTTTTCTCCTCTCTGGAGATTGGACGATGGCGAGGGCAGACCGCGAAAGTAATAAAAGGCCCTTTTTTTATTGAGAAGTTAACGTTTATGACTATATTAATATCCGTCTATTTATCAAAACCAAGGAGCATATAAACGTACCCATATATCCTGGGGCGGCCCGCGCAAAATAAAAGTTTGTTGTGGGTTGAGATAAGCGGCGAGGGCGAGATATAAACAATCGACGTGACTAGTTTGGTGACGAGTTCATTTTTGATAGGTGGGTGAAAATCACCTATTAAAAAGGAGGACCCATTAAAAAAGGATACGGTAACTAGCATTTATCAAATGGGGCGTGATCTATGAATATGAAAAATAGCTGATCGTCAGAAAATTGGGCCGTTTTTATGGTAATCATCCCCATTCTACATGGCACCCCAAAATCCAAGCGACCTTTCGCTTTTTATTGTTATGATGATCGGCAAGGATTTTAGGGTACAGATTTGAAATTCTGTTTTCATAGTCGACGTGTATTCGAAATTTACCATAAAAATTTACGAACCTTAATATGAACCGAATGTTCGAAATACGGTTCCTTTAATCAAACGTTTCTTGATTCGCAGTCTGTTTCATCGGTGCTATCTTACACCAATCTTTGTAGCGACAACCACAACCAAAATCAACAAATCGACAATAACAAAACCCTCAGCAAGCATTCGACAGAAGTTTCTCTCCTAACGTTATTCAGTGTAAACACTCTATTCAACCGTTGCATTATAACAAGCCTTCCGCCGCAAATTAACATCAATATTTTATCTTTGCTCCCAAAAAAAAATTAATTAACAAAACAGTCCGACATTAACATCCAAATTAGCCAGTCTAATCTATAGGAGCATTATATTACGAAATGATGTTTAAAAGATCTTCCACTCCGATCAGACCCGTTTCTGTTACAGAACATATTGCGAGCGCTATTCTCACCAACAGTAACGCCTTTCGAGCTTGGATCTACCATACATGACTCTTCTCACGATGTTGATACAGCCATTGGGCAATGGATCATATGCTGTTGTATACATGGTCCACAGTAGCAAGGATGTACACCTTTAGCGTTCAATGTACACCTTTAGCGTTCAATCGTAGGTGTAAACAAATAAAGAATGCAAAACTCCACAGTAGCAAGGATAATAAATTGTACGCTCTCAATGTTTGTCCAAAGCAAATTTGTCCGAATACCATTTGTCAGTGCAGAGAAATGAGGTAAGATACTTTATTATATTA